GCCGTCGCAGTCCGGCCCTTCAGCAACATCGTACACGCACTCGCACGCGATCGCACCCGTCGGCGGCGCGTCCGCTACGCATTATTATGTGGCCGCGCGGCCGCCATGTTTGCTTGCTCTCCGCTGCTCGACTGGAGGGCTCCCGCCGCGCACACCGCTCCGCACACACGATCACGCCGCCCGCGGCGTAGCTCGGTCGGTCGCAGCGGCTCGGCTCGGCTCGGCGCGGCCTGGCTTCGCTCGGCCTTTGGCTCGCGGCCATGCCACCGCATCGCCGCGCCGCCGCGCGCGTTGACGTCACGTGGTGGCCAATCGTATGCGCGCCCGCGCGCGCGAACCGCCACGTGCCAGGGCCGTCGCGCATCGCACGCGCGCCTGTCACATGATCGACCGCGCGCGGCGCGGCGCGGCGCCGCGCGACTTATGCGTGCCACGACGCGATGTTCCCGGCGCGTATCGGGGGGGAATATTCCTTTCCTGGTACTTCGAAAATTTTCTTACTTCTTTATCGGTTTTTACATAATAAGCAATCGTGGTGCCCGAGAATTGTGCGTCTACTTTTTGTGCCGAAGATCCGAGTTCGGATCCGTCCGTCGGATTTTTTTATTCGATCGCTATCTCTCAAAAAGTAATGGCAAATCCACGAGAGATATATTATATATCTTACCATGAAAATTCTTCTAATTAGGCCACTAGAGTTCGGCGTTAAAACTGCAGGTCCCAGTTTGTATCTATGCAAACTGCATAAACAACGCACATCATTATAGAAATACGCTGAGGGGGTCGCGCTCTGATGACAAAAGGCCGGAGAACTCGAAGAGAGATCAGTTTTCATGGAAAAGGAATTTGTAGCGTTTTCGAATGCAGTGGATTTTGACCCGTCCGAGATCGATTAATAACGCTCCGCTTTAGATTTCCAACGAGTAGAGAGACGTTATCAATCGATCTCATGACGATCAAAATTCACTGTAATCGAAAAACGCTATAAGTTTTTATTTAAAACTTTTTGTATTTCTTCGATTAAGTGAAAGAAATAATTTTTTAAACGAATCACGATGCTACTTTTAATATTTTTACCTGTCCTTTCCAAAACATTAAATGTGAACATTCATTAGAAAATATTAAAAATAATTATTTTAATTTATAATAAAATACTATATTGGATCATAAATTAAATAAATCATAAATAGTGCATCGACACATCCTATTACAGTGCAAAATTTATTTCATTTGGGGAAAACCGATATCAATTAGCTTGAAATAATCTGAAATTTGCGGAGGAAAAGAGTGAATTCAGAGACAATGACAGAATAACAAAGACGTTCCTGGTGCGTGTAGGTATGGTCTTTTACTTCACACACAATCGGATTCTCGTGACACATACACGCACACACACACACATTACCTCGAAACCGAAAGGATATTATATATCGAAGGCAGCCAATGCAAAACACGGTTGATATATCGCGACACGATAAATCTTATCTTCATGCGCGCGCTGCATTTATATATATAATTATATATAAATATATATATTTATATATATAAATAAATATGTTCATTTATATATTTATACATATATATATAATGTACGTTATTAATATATCTCGGTTTTTTTTTCTTTATCACACGAGACGATGTCAAAGCCCACGAAACAGATGCGATGTATTGAATGTGTGGGCCAAGAGCCATTGAAAAAAAAAAGGATTAATCTGCAACAATACGATCATATACAAAATACTTGTTATAAATATACGAAAAATAACCACTGGTAATTAAACAGTCACGCAATTAAAATAATTATGTATACGTAATAAATTTGCAATTAAGATATAATTGCTATTGAGATAAGAGAATTCAAATGGTTATCGTTAATTTATTTCCTTTTTCAATAAAACAAAAAAAGAAGCTTGAAACTAGCTTTGATCCGTTTCTGAGATGACGACTGTTGGCCCACACTGTACGGATTGCCGCGTAGTTTATATTTATACAGGGTGTCCCTAAAGTCACTTGGTTGTCCTAAGGAACGAGCTGTTCAATCAGGAATGAACTCCTGGCGCAGTTACTCGCGGGCCACCCAGTATATATGTATATTGTAACGCAAGTCAAAAGAGACATACGTCGTCGTCGCGTGGCGCCTATAATCATATTACACGAGGATACAATTTCCAAAGGATTACAATGACGAGATGCAAAAATAGACGTTACCCACCACTCGTCGCGCGACACAGCAAGACCAAATTTCTCCTCGGCTCTCCTGAAAGTACACCGGAAATTTTTCTCGTCGCTCACCCTTTCACCGTTTTTTCTCTCCTTCTCTCTCCCTTCCACACATCACTTCCACGCTTAATTAGTATTTGTGCAATTAGGCGATTCGGTGAGGCTTCCTTACGTCTTGGAAAAAAACGTGCGTTTAGCCCACTTACTCGAGTCGTTAAATCAATTATTTTTAAGCGTGACCGTAATCGCGTAGTTGATAAATAGCGAATATCGGAACGGAAATTTATTTCTATTTATGTAGAGTAATGTAAAGAATTAGTCGAAAATTACACACGTGCGTGTGCATGTACGTGTGTGTGTATGCTATAAATTTTTGCTCTATACAGTAATCAAATTTACTAAAACGTAGGAATGAGAGAATCAATTCATGCAGGTAGATATGCTTATTAAAATATTTAATACATGAAATAAAATGTAAAAAAATATATTAAGTAAATATATTTCGCAATATATCTTTTAATATTTAAAAAACATATTTATATTTATAGAGATTATTTCAAAACTATTTCTCAAGTTTGTTTATAAATTTTTGAAACGTTTAGGAGCTCGTGCAGAACATTCAAAGGTCATGTCGCCTAAAGGCCAAATGCATGTCGATAATGCAAACGATCAAACGTTCCTAGAATATAATAAAAGCTCGGGAAGGAATAAGATCTGCTATTCGTACGTGAATTGCAAAAATTAATAAAAGTGCAATACAAATTACGAAATGTAATTGAAAAAAATAGGCCAATCTAATTATCCATTAAGGAACGCGGTAATCGCGATTCCTCGCAGAATCTTGGACCCAAGAATTGTCGACTCCTAGATTCTGAAGATATCATAATAATGAGTTTTTTTTATCTTAGAAAGTCGCTTAAACTTGAGAATTGCTGATCCGGATTATGAGGTGCAAGCTGATGAATATATCATGATTATAGTTGCGATCTGCCGTGTTCTACCCCTTGGAACTGCAGCGGCACTGTGACCAAGGCTCAAGTTTTCCAAGATTTTTCTCATTTTTTTTTTTTAATATTCAAAGAGTATTGTAGATATTTCCGGAGACCTCCGTGCACTCCTGCATAGATTTCTAGAACTCCAAAGCTTGCGGTTTTTTTTTCTCCAAAACTTCGGTTCCTATTAAAGCCTAGTTTCTTGTAGAAGCAGAGCTGTTTATAGGTACGTCAAATTTAATTACACTCTATTTCTAATTAGTCTTAAACGTTCTGCAGTCTATTTAGAATTTCTCAATCGAGCTTCAAAGCTCGCGATCAGATTAAGCCCTCGCGCTATCAGAAAAATCTTGCCGTCAGAAAATATCGTAACGTCCCTGTTCTTGCTTTTTTTTTTCATTTGTTTTATTTTTTTTCTGCAAGCATATAAATCAGCGATTGTAACAGACGCTACTTCGTAAGTCAGGATTGCGTCCCAATAAGATTATATATTCTATATGCCGTATATAAGTTTCAAATTCTCGATGCAAACGAACTTCCCCTGATCACGACAACCGTGCTAACTTGGAAAAACAAATTGTCCCTTCCAATCCTTTTTTTTTCTCTTTCCATGTTTTTCGCATGCGCTCTCTCATTCTCTCTCATTTTCTCTCTTTCTCATTCTTTCCCGGTCGCCCTGTCTCGCCCGCACTTACATATGTTATACATTTTGACAAATAATTAAAGTCATCACAGAAGCGTCACATTATCATATTTTAGTTAGACTACATTTCTCAGTGTTATTCTCATTTTGGTTAGCGTAGTAATATTACAATGAGTACAAAATGTTTTCTCAAGTTTTTTCAAGCCTAGTATAAAGCACTATTATCATTATTGTTATTATTATCATTAATATATCATTATAATTATATGTATATCATATTTATATATATAATCATGAGTGTGTGTGTGTTTAACACGCCGGCACACACACACACACACACACGTCGCGCACACACATATCTTCTTGCGTGTGCCATACGCACACAAAGCTGCAGTCGCACCACTTAGTATCTAAGTCGTAGCGAGATAGTAATTTATAATAATCCGTTAATCCTCTATCAAATCAAATCTTTTTCCTTTCTCCGGGAAACGATATTGTGTTGCGATTCAAAAGGACCAGCCGGTAATCACGGTTAATCGATCGTTAGCCATCGTATATAGAGGTCTTTCTCATATTTCATACTTTTTCTCGTTGAGAACAAGATAGGAGACAATACATGAATAAAAAATATTTAAAAAAAGAGAAATTGAATTACTCAATACACACAAAAAAACTCATATAAACGATTAAAAAAGATCTTTGCATTTTTTTTTGTTTTTTTCTTGGATATTTTTCATCAATTAAAATAAAAAATAAAGACTTCTAGTATATTATATTTCATATAGAATTAATAAAAGCCTTTGTTGAATTTCTCAAATATGCTATAAAATCTAATTTTAATTTCACTTTGAATTATTTTTTATGTCGAAAGATTCACATTTCTTTGGAACATATCAGGTTGCTGCGAAAGTTCTTTGGATCTCTCTTTCATAAGCTCTTATATTCTTATAAAAAAATTTCTAATCTCTAAAACCACTCTCGATATCTTACTCTTGGAATATATTGATATTAGAGTAGAATATTGATTCTCTTGTAATTTTTATATCTTTAATGAATAAAAAAATAGAAGAAAGTTCTTGGATTCTGAAATCTTCTAAATCTTTGAACATCTCAATCTTGTGATAATTACTTTAATTCTCTTATGCTTTTTCGGTCTATAAAAACTTCATCTCTTTAGGTCCTTGTATCTCACATATCTTAACGCCTACAACTCCGTCGTAAAGCCCACGCGAAATCGAACTTTCGCAGCAACCTCCTCGAAAGTGCTAACACTAGCCTCGTGCCTAGCCTCCGAAATTTATGGGGAAAAACCGTGCGTTCTTCCACTATGCGGAACGTTGCCGAAGTGGGAACGCAATGACGAAGACAGTATTGTCCATATGCGACATTCAGAAACCGCAAAGAGAAACGCGATTCGGCTCTCCCTACCTCTCTCTCTCTCTCCCTCTTTTGCTCGAAATGCGGATACGTCTGATGATGATGATGCGCGGCGATCGACCTCCCGTTTTACTTCGAGTCATAAAATAATGGCACAAAGCGAAACGGAGCTTTGCGGGGCGTTCGAGCGGCCTCGGCGAGCGCTTCCGGATACTTAGCCGGAACTGGCGGTCTCGTTCTCCACCGGCAGAATCGGATGCGACGCGTCCGTCGAATAGTCCCGGCGATCCTTCTTATTCTGTCTCACCATCTCGGCGCGCCTCTCCTGCGGAAAGAAAGAAAGGGATTTAGAGTTAGAATAGAACGCTCTCTCTGGTGCGATCCTATTGAAGACAGACATGTCGAAAAGTACGCCATGCTCTCTAACAAGCTGACGAGTTGCCTTAGACAGGATGCGTCGAGGAAGTTTTCGGAGTTTCTCGAGATCTTCAGTTTAAACCGATTGACAACGATGACTTTACTGCAGAAAATTCATTACGAAGGTCTTTAGGTGACGGATAAAATTTTGGCACCAGTATGCAAGTATTCTCCGGCACATCCTGCACGCAAAACGTGATCACGTACGAGTTATAAAATGAGCACGGCTGCATGCTGAAAGAAAGATAACTTATGAAATGAAGACTGCAACGTAAGCACAACAGCATTCCTTTTACAAGCGCAACTATCGACGTTTTTCGTGATCCTATATATAAAATATGACAATGCTATTTGTCGCGACGGTGGAAGGGGAGAAGGCATACGAGACGGGGAAAATAATTGATACGTAATTTAATGCGACCCACGAGCATTACAATTTGTCGTACTAAATTTAAATTAGTCACGTTTCTAAAATCTGACTGTCCATATAACTTGTATATATTCTATATAAATGAAATATAAAAATATGTGAAACAAATATATGAAACTAAATATGTAAATAAAATATAAAAATGTGGAACAAATATATGAAACTAAGAATATAAATATAAAATGTAGAACAAATTATTTTTTCCATTTTTTCGTCATTTTCGTTCGTTAATATATGTCGAAAAATGTCACGGTTAGAAATAAACATAAATTGATAAAGAAATAATTTTTAAAATAATAGATGTCTGATTAAATACATCACAATTCAATTTTCAATATATTATAATCTAATTTTAATTTTAACCGTTTGGAAATTAAATGTATTATTACTATTGATACTTAATAAAAATTACAATTTCTGAAGCTTCTGTGACCCCGAGTAGGACAGTTTATTAATGACATTAGTTAAACATTGGCACATATTGGGAACATATTGGGCCAATAAGTTCTGCTACTAGAACGTTATATTAAGTGAAAATTTTAACTTTTATATGTGCCAGTTACTTTTATACTTTTATTTTGAACTGTATTATGTTATATTGCAAAATAATAAATATATTACCATAAAATATACCACTAAATAATAAACAAAAATTAGGAAATTAGCGTCTATTTTGTCACGAGCATCGATTTGTGTGGATCGTACAACAAATTGTCTGCGGGGGAAGGGGGGGGGTCCGAATGCAGTTAAGAGTGCGTGTGGGGGACATCAGTATTACATGGTGGCGGCGGATCGCTTGCACGCGACGCTGGATCTCTCGCTGCCGATTCATCTCCGCGGTCGACACCCTCTTGTCGAACTCGCACTTTTTCACCAGGAGCTCGCGCGCCGCCATCTGACGCACTTTCGCTATCTGCACCGTATTCTAAACCACCATCGCACAAACGTCTACGTTCAATCAGTGCTTTCTTACGCAGAAAAAACCTCGGGGGCAACCCGAGATAACCCGATTTGTTTTTCTTACTTTTCTCTCATTCTTTCAAAAGCACGCGAATACAATGCTTTGGTCAAAGATTTTAGATTGTTACGCAACTCTTTCGCCGCCTTTCGCGTAATTGTTTGTCGAAAGACTTTCGTTGTATACATAGACTTTTCAAAAATTGAAGAATTATTCAAAAGTAACTTAAATTTTAGAATTATTTCACGTTTAGTTTCTGGATTTAATATTTCCGTAAATCCTGGATTCTTCAAATAAATTTTATTTAATTTTTGAAGCATAGATTTTTCAAAAATTTAAGAATTATTCAAAAGTAACTTAAGTTTTAGAATTATTTCACGTTTAGTTTCTACTGATTTTACATTTCTGTAAGCCCCGGATTCTTCAAATAAATTGTACTTAATTTTTGAAACTCTAATGATTCGGACCTTCGAATTTTTTCGAAAGTCATAAATCTCAAAAACATTCAGTAAATAAAAGTCAAAATACACAAAGTTTCTTATAACTTTGCAATTACAACTAATTTTCTCATTGATCCAAAAATCGGCGAAGTTTCGTAACAACCAGATATAGAGACCGACGTACTGCCTAAAGCTACCACACGAGCACCGAGGGGCTACAACACTCGGCCGGAAACTTACATGATTGCGCAGCTTCTCCTTCTGCTCGCGCTCGATGGTCTCGCGACGTTCGCGTGCCTGCTCCAACTTGCCCTGGATTTGGGACTCCAACTGCTGCACGCGCTCCGACATACCTTGACGTACGCGAGCAACTTGCTCTTCCTGCAAACAGGCCGCGAATCAATAACTTATGTCTATTCTCGCCGGGTCTATTATCTGCCTATATAGTATGCCTGTTAAAATATGCAAAACGATATGCAGCAGCATTGCAGAAAAGAGAAAAAAAACCCACGAAGGATTGTAAATATGAATTTAAAAGTGTTTCGTTGTTGCCACACGTTCTCAAATTTAAATATATAAATAAAATTCCTCATGTAATGATGACTGATCTACTTGTCTAATCCTCACACTTGTAACACTGTATTATTTTTATTTTATACTATACTAACGTGCTCCTTGAGACGATCCAGCATTCTCTTGATATTTTCGTCACGCTGAGCCGCGGCAGTCTTCAGTTTCTCCTCGACGGCGCATCGCACTTCCTCGGTTTGTTGCTCGAGACTCAGGCGAGTCTTCTCAACGCTCTCCAACTGCAACGAAAAGTGAAATTAAATGTCACAACAATCATCTAAACGCCTAAACGACAATTAATTAAAAACTATTAAAAAGGCGAATATCCGATTGATCTCATCTCCGATCTCTACTCACATGTTCCTTCAGCTTGTTCTTCAGCTCGGCGATGTGGGCCTCCCGCTTCTCCTCGGTGTTGTTCATTTTCGCGTCCAGGGACTCGCGAGTGGCGGTGATGAAGGCCGCGCTGAGCTCGTCCTTCTTGCGGGACGCCTCCTCGATCTTGCTGAGCTTGGCGGCGAGGGCGGCGAGCTTGTGCGCCTCGATGGACAGTCTTCGCTCCTCGGCGGCCTTCAGCTTGTCCTCGATCGCGGTCTGCTGCGTCGGGCTCGGCTGCGGCGGCGAGGGTGCTCTCTTAGGCACCGTCGGCTCCGCCAGGATCACCTCGTAGCACAGCCCGCCCTTGGACTTCTCCTGGCATCGGATCTCGGTCGCTGCAAAATTTCCACGGTGCGATGTAACGAGTGTTCGGCGCAACATAACGAACTTAATGCATCGAAAGATAATGGCTGATCATACATTTTCAGTGCGGCATACAGCCAATGACTAATATGATTAATTACTATGTAATTATTAATAATATTATTACCATTAATAATAATGACATAATTATTGATTGAAACCGTTAGATGCACATGGTGCACTGAAAATATTTAATGCCATTATCTTTCCATTATATAATAGTTGCCATCATTATATAATAAATATTATATTTATAAATATAGAATTATTAATAGAAAACTGTAATTATTATACACGATAAAAATACAATTTTTATTTTAGCTTTAAGAAAAAAAAATTCCTCTGCTGTATGGTACAAGTATTTTTAAATTATCGATATCAAGATTGAGAGACCAAAGAGCATCTTGGAATAACTGACTGTACATACTGAGATACTCTAAAGCCCGGTTTTTCATTTTCTGGTTAACTTGTGGTTTAAGTTCAACCTGATAATAACGTAAAATTGTGTTTTACTATCAATGATTAATCAATTAAATTGATTAAATGGTTTTGTAGTGATAATTTTAAAATTACAATTACAAAGCCATCAGTTAAATGATTAGCCATAGATAGCAAAATATAATTTTTACATCATATAGTCAGATAAAATTTAGATCAAGTACGTAAACCACAAGTTAATCAGAAAAGTAAAAACCCGAGCCTAAGATCGATATTTTCTCGTTTTGACGGTCTGGACCGTTCCATAGATATCGATGCTGCGAACTCAATCTTCGAATGATGGGTATCGACACCTCGTATAATCTATCGAGTATCGACGCCACGTCTCTCGGCGCAACAGTCCCGTCGCCGGCGTGATTCCACCCGTCGCGATTCCACGATTTCCGGCGCCGGCTGGTTGCGGAAGCATGACTCAGAGGTACGAGAGCGGCGCGGCAAGGAGGGATCGATCAGAGAGAACGATCGGCCGTAGGCGCCGCGACGTCTAGCGTCGTCGCACGCACCTCCACCGCCTCCTCCACGACCGCCTCTCTCTCTCTCTCTCTCTCTCTCTCTCTCTCTCTCATCTCGCGCCGCTGCCAGCCGTACACCGTAATTACCGTATATCATACCGTGTCGTACAATTTTCCTGCCGTAGCAATTTTCGGGAATTCCCGTAATTATTTCATTACGAAAAGTGAATCGTAATCCGTTATATTGCCGTTTCCTCTTTCCTCCGCCCCATCTTTTCGCTACGTGTGTCTCGAGTATACGGGCAAATTATATATTATTATTAACGTTCAAACGAACGTTTAGTCCAACACGTCGTCTATTAGGATTATTTCAGTATATTTTACATAATTATTTCACAACCGAATGAAGTTTCGGCTTCGCGTTCCCGATGTCTATATTTTCCTCCCTCTTCCACTTATTGCAGTGGAACGGCACCGGCCGTATCAAACAGAGAACTGCTTATGTCAACTACTATGAAAAGTTGTCGATATCGCCGTACATCTCCACGTAGTACGGCACACAAGCACACAAGTTTGCAAATGCTCCCCGCATTCGATTTATAATTCAACGGCGACACATTGGCGCGACCGTTTCTCATGCCGAGGGCATTGCACCGATCTTTAGCGCGGCGAAGGTGCTCCCTTTTAACTCTCACACAATCAGACAAAGGAATTCTCATATTACGCGAATAAAACTACACGACGCAGGTGCATAACGCGGCGATTACGCAGAGGAAATCGTTCAAGGTGCGAGGAACAGGACTCGGTAAACAAAAAAAAAGTTAGACGAGACGCGTTTCCTTGACGCGTCAATTTTTTGTATTGTCAATAAAATCACCACCCCAATGCAACTACATGATAAAAACGAAAATATAAACAAGTTTTTCGGGCAAATAAAATATCCCAGAGAAATCTTTTTTAGGAGCAAATCTTTCCGTGAATTTAAAATGGATTTCTCATATAATAAAAACTTATAAATTTATATACTTCTATATATTATTATTATTAGATATCATCGATAATAAAAATGATAATAAAATTTTTGTCAAAAATCTATCTTGGAATTGCTGTTCACATTTTCATCAAATAATCTATCTCTCTTGGAATTGAAGTTTAAATTTTTGTCGGGTATCTCGGAATTGCGGTTCAAATTTTTGTCGGGTATCTTGGAAATTGCTGTTCGCATTTCTCTGGAATGTTTAGCGATTCTAAAGCCCCACGATTCTAAGGAAATCGATACGATTCGATCGAACGGCTGTAGGTGCGTCCCAATACGTTTCTCTGACGTCAACTAAAGCTCGCTTAATTATCCAGATACTCACTGATGAACTTCACCTTTTTCGGCTGCTTGGTCCGCGGCTTGCCCTTGCCGCTCGGCTTTTTAAACGGCGCATTATTCCTCCTCGGTCCCGCTTCGGAAATTCAGACACGGTCAAAGCACTTGTAGCGTTTTCGAGAGGGATTAACGAGGGAGAAGGGAAGAATAGAGGAGGCGGGATTTGCGCTTTGACCCACTGAGGGACACCATCTCGCTCGTTTAACGATTATGCAATTATTATAACGTATTTATATCTGAGCAAAACGGCTGCAATTATAAAGACATTCGAGTCGCAACATTTGTAGCGCTTCAAAAATACCATAAATGCGGTAATAACGAGCATCGATTTTTACCTGCTACTTTTATCTCTTTACTTGCCTTGTAAATATTGATCGCGTGAAATTTATGGAGGTTTTTACTGCGCAATAATCATAAAAACGGAAGGGAAACAATCTGCGGATCGTGTTTCGCGTATGGAGTTAAGAACCTCGCTCGTATTTCAATCAATGCACTCAGGTATTTCAGAAATAAAGAAGCTGTAAAGGGGACGAAATTAGCATCGTTGCGTGCCGTTGTCCGGCTGAGGGATCGATTGGTGTCCCAATGGGTTAATTATCAAGAAATCGATGCGACCGTTTCGCGTAGCCATGTTGGACCGCACCCTGATCGTTTCGGCGAGCCAAACACGTGCGTTACCGGCGTGGCAAAAAATCCGGGATATTATTAGAGCGGTTAACAAAAGACCGGTTAACAAACAGAGTTGCCGCTTTAACATTGTACACGTCGCGTCAAAGATAATTCAGCTTACAGTTATCTTTCAAAAATAAAAAAAATTATGAAAAGGAAGACGTATCGTTACTTTACATCTTGCTGTTAGTGTTTGTATTATTAACAATTGATATATGTATGTTATTAACAAAATAAGTAATCTGGATGGTAGGTATTGTTTTAAATATATTATTAAGAAATGTTTTAAAAAATGCAACATTAATTGACGTACAAGTATTAAATTTTTTCTTTTGGTCTCTTAAATAAAAATGTCATATCTAATATTAATTTGTCAATTGAATCAAGCAAGTTTAATAATTAAATTCAAAATTGCAAGTTAAAAAATTCGAAAAATGCTTTTTAAAAAAAAGTACTTGTCACCGCACAAATAATTTACTTAATAATTTATTTTGAATATCGTGTATTTATATCTCAAGTTTTTTTTTCATGGCTGTGGAATCGATATTTTTTAGAGAGATAATTTTGTTATCTTAAAAGTTGAACGAACTTAACGGAGGACGATCTTTACCAAGAACCGGCGAAGTTTCGCGACACCCCGTAGAGAAAAATGGTGGACCGTGAGTATCGATTCGCGGACGGTCTGAGAAATTGATCGAACTGCAGGTGCCCCAGGATAATGTCACGATACCACCGTGATGTCGACCGTGCACTGCGGTAAGGACAGTGCCTCCTCGCGTGCGAAGGGCACGAAAAAAGCCGTAATTTCTTCTATGAAAAAAATTTACAAAATTCTTAAATTTCTCTCGAGTCTTGATACGCAAATTACGCATCGATCAATAATTAGACACGCAAGCGAAATTGAATAAACTACGTAGAATAATTTCATTTAGAATAATTGATTAACATGTTAAATAAATGAGGAAACTTCGAGTGAATAATAAAAAATCAATAATACATAAAACACTAAAGAGAAAAATGACAAAAAATTATTGTGACTAAAAATAGACGAATACAGCATACAATTAAATTATATTATTTAAACAAAGTATTAATAAAAATTGTATCAATTTTGATCCGCAATTTAATACATCCGAGATCAGGGTACACTTTTCGAGATATTTTCTGTGTCGATAGAAAACGGTCGCATTTATTTCCAAGCACTTGACTCCCATTCCACGAGTTTCTTTCTCAAAGGATAAGGCAAGATGAAATAGGACGATTTGTTAGGAAATTTTTCCGTGAATATATTCAGAGTAGTCAAAGACCACATTTACTTTTCTCTCTTTCTCCTTCCAGTTTCCGGTCTCTAAATTTTATTTTTGTAAAAGAAAAAATACTCGATACTTTAAAGCTCCTGTCCTAAGGAATGCAAGGACAGGCAATGTATAAAAAAAATTCCTACAAAAATCCGTCGAAAAAGCAACGTCAATGTCATGTTTAAATCTAATTGTAAGAAAACAAATTTTAATAGCGCTCTAAAACCATAAATAATTTAAAATGACCTTTAGCCTCGAAATTTACTTATAAGAAGCTTTTAATGAAGGTGCTGTCTCTGAAAAGCAACGAACTATGATTCAGCACCTTAGCCTATAAATAACTTAAAGAGTAACCTGAGCAAGGTTTAGCCCGATAAATGTTAAATTACTTCACGACTGCTTTGTAAAGAGCTATTACGATACTCCGCCCACAGGATAAGTGGGCAATTCCGTTCAAAAACTGACGAATCATTTTACGGGAAGCCACCAATCTTACGTAGGAAAAAATAAATTGTGTAAAGATTGGTTCTGTCGACAAGACCGCCATAAAACCGCTTTCGAAGAGGCATTCAGAAATAAGAAGTCACATATTCGCGAAACTTTAAAGCAATTTCTTAAAATCTTTTGCGAAGATCGCGGATTTTTAGGAAGAATTGCTGAAGTTCCACCTTGATAAAGTTTTGTGACCAATCAGTGCCGAAATCTCTGTCGCGAGAGATATACATTTCGCTCCTTTAAGGTGCTGAAAAAAGCTTTGAAATTTGAAAATATAAAGTCTATATTTCTCTCATTCTTAAAAAACTGATTCTATTATCAAGATCATTCAGAAATGATTACTCAAGATTATGAAAATTCGAACAGGACGGTGATTTTCACATACATTTGGATCGACCGTTAACAGCGCGTTTTTTTTTGGCAGCCAATCTTTACGAGAACCGGAGAACCGGAAGGAAAGTCTCAGCGAGAGGATAGATGAGGAGTACAGTGGGCCTCGCGCGACAGGGACTCACTCACCTACGACGCCCAGCGGGGCCTTGCAGCTGTGACAGAAGCACTGGAGCACCGAGTCACGCACGAGACCGATCAGCATATTGTCGTATTGTTTCGTTGCGAAAGGGGGGTTGGTTTCGCGGAGTGTCTCGCGGATCTCGGGACACGACGGGCGATCACGACGACGGGATCAGGCGCGCGAGACTGGGACCGCGGGTGGCTGGAAGGACGAAGAAGAGGAGACCGGGACAGAAAAGAGAAGAGTTAGGCACGCCGGAAATGTCGCTCAGGTCGTAACTGGGGCGGTGGCTGAAGGGCGACTGGCCCGCACGCTGCGCCGCGACGCCCGGCGTCGCTCAATATTCGACCGCTCTCCTCCACCTCCACCTCCTCCACCACCTCCTCCTCCTCCTCCTCCTCTTCTTCCTCCTTCTCTACCACTATATATTCCACGCTTTTTCCCCCTGTGCCATGCAACCAACAGCCTACCCGACGACAAGCCACCCTTCCAGCTAGCGAGCTCCAACCTGCGATCGCCACTACTAGAACAGCCGTCGGAGGGGTGTTATTGGCTATACGGGGTGTCCCGCGAGAAGGCCACGTTAGACGTGAGTAGAGAGGGTTTAATGGATGCCGCAGGAGGAGAAAAAAAGCCGTCAAACAGAGGGATGGTCAAAGTCGTCGAATTAAAAGGGGGAACTTTAATTGGGGGTAATTTGGGGTTGGATATTTTGTGCGAGCCTTGGCTGTTGAGATTCTTTAATTTCGAGGCCGCTTCGTCACGCGGATATCTTTTACGCAATTGTATTTGAAATGATTGTATCTTTCTCAGAATTCTGAGGTACTTGGGAAGCTGAGATCTTCCGAAATTTCATGACTCCTGTATTTCCTAGAAACTCGACGAGCTTAGAAATTGAGAATTCCAGATTATTCCTCAAGATTTCAGAATGTCAAGATCTCCGTAAGTTCTATGCTTTTGAAAAATATTTGATTATTTAAAGATCCTTCCGTTTTTCTTTTCCGGACACTCGGTACAGCTCGGAGCCGGTCGCTAGGCACGTGTGCGGAAGCCTATGTGCAGGCATAAAATACCATCTGTCTATCTCCCGTTTCTCCTCCCCTCGCTCCCTTCCGACCCATCGGAGATGTTATACCGCTCTCCTGAATCCTCCGATTTGCCATCGCCGTTCTAACGAAGGACCGGCGCTTCAATTTCCGAAACGATCGACGAAAAAATTCGCCCGAAGGAAAAGTCCGTGTGATTGTTACGGAAACTTCGCAAAGTACTTCGACAGATTCGAATTGATTTCGCGCCCCTCGGGTTTTCCTCCGATCTCTCCACATCTTCAATTAACTCAATTAACAATCTCGCGTCAGGTGAGAGTCTCGAGTGTTTGGATCTATTGAATCTGCAAATTTTCTGTGATTCTGAAACTCTGGAGTCCTTGATTCAATTTCAAAGATATATCCAGATATATTTCTCTTATCTAAATTTTTCACGATAAATATCACGTATTTCAATCGAATTGATAAAGGCGCCCGTCAGAGAGTTCCAGATTCGAACCCTGCATGGATGAGATGTCTTTTTGCAATAAATTCATTAGTATTTTAAAATGCTCCTTTTGGAATCAAGATTATCAAATTATTTATTAATTTAATTTGTAATACATATTTGACTCCAAAATCTTAGTCTCTCTGTGTCAATTATACATAATATTAAAACTAAGCCAAATGATTAAGCTAACGTATAAACTAATAATTATGTTATTGTTATGTATATTAATATATCTTATAATATGTAATTATTACATATAATTAACATTGTTATTATGTTACTTATAAACTAATATAAATTATTTATACGCTCTTTATATATATAATATTATTTATTATAAGACTCCAGCTTCAGTTTAGGACTATAATTCAAGACTAACAAATAATTGGTGCGCAACTTAAACTGGAAAATGCATATAAATTTACGCTAAAATATTAATTAGGCACCAAGATTGAATAGGCTTATTTCTGTTGTTAATTTAATTGTATATTCATGTATCGATTGATTTCACTTATTGTGTTTACTTGTTATGTTTCTTCTCTTTAAAATTTAAATTGGATTTAAATTACGAGAATGAAATTCAAGCTGTCATAAACCACTATGAGATTCGACAAGGGCGTCACCGATCGGAAAATATGGGGCATGTAATGATCGGGTTTTGTGTAAAGTTTTCCACTGGACGGGACGATCGAAGAGACGCTGTTTTGTTGGAGCCCACCTTGTGACGCAGCCGGTGAGACATCAGCGAGTTTTACCCGTAGAAATCAATGAGAAATGAAATTTTCATAATGAATAACGATCGCGTAGCAACAGTCGGATTTATTACAGAGGCAAACGGAAGGAGAGCATTTTTTACATCGGTCTTATCCGCTAATTTGCGCAAAAGGCGATGATTTAATCGAAGCGACTTAATGCAACCCTTATCGTTGCAAATGGCTCGATATCGCTTTCGTTAAATCGAGACAGATAATGACATACACTACCAATTTTCCAATGATTTCATATTAGAAGCTTGCTACTCGAGATAATTCGAGTTTAATAGCTAGAGATTATTTAAACTCTAAATCATAATAAAATTATAATTCAATGCAAGTTTTATCTTTGATAAACCCGGTTATCGAAAAAGTTTAACTAATTTTTTAGACAATTCAATAAAAAAATAATTATTATTGCCTAAAAATAATGTGTTCATTTACTAACAAATTTCTGCCTATTGATGTATTAACTAATTAATTTTTCAATGCTGTTCCAATTCAATAAAACGAAAAATATATCTTAAAATAAAATTTTATATGTATAAATAATTAATTCACATTAGTTTGATACAATTAACATAATAATTGTGTTAATTATATTAAACGTAATAATTGTGTTAATTATATGTAATAATTATGTTATAAAATTATATTAATATACATAATTGAACATAATTATTAATTCATGTTTAATATTTTGGCTTAGTTTTAATATTGTGTATATGATTTACATTTGGAGAATTTTAAGATTTAGAAGTCAAAGCATCAAGAACAGAAAGAAAAAGAGAGATTTCAAGATTCTCCCTTCTTCAAAACTTTGCTCCCTTCTTTAGAATTCTTCCAACATCTTTTCGTCGCATTTTATAATCCCAAAAAGAGATAGAGTTATATCCGCCTTATGATAACTTTCGTGATTTTTGTTTGATGACAAAAAAATTTGGTGACACTGAAGTTTTAAGTGCAAAAAAAGGAATTTGCTGCGAACACTCGAGAAATCTCAATCCAATAAGCTCCGTGTAATGAGCCAGATTCGATCGTTATGGTTTAATTAGCTTCAAACGACGGCGATAATGAGAAAAAGCGAACGGAAAGGTTGGAGAAAAAAATCGAGTTTATCGTCGCGTTATCTCCCCATTGGTTTCTTGCCAATGAAGACTCGCGTCAAGGACGAGATTCTCATTCATCGCGGATCCCATTCACTACAATCCCTTTAGATTAACCGTAAGAAGTGTCCAATTTAAGAGCACTTGTAATAATAAAAATTGTCAAATACATATTTCTCTCACTTCTCCTCTCATCTATTGTAACTATGAAACTTATTGATTTTATATATTAGATAATAAAGACTATCATTATCATTCCAAAATTAAAACATTTTTAGAAACGTAATCACTTTAATATTAATTTTATGTCGTTCGATTCATGTTCAAGTTGTGGAATAAACTTGGTTTTGGCTCGTTCTTTTGCGCAAAAGGGACAGATGCGAGAGTCGAGAAATCGAGTCCTCCCAATCCCTCTTCAGGTCGCGCTATCGTTCGCGATCGCGACTCACGACTCGCAAGTTGAGAGCCACGGAATCGCCGACGTGCACCACCGCACCGCAGTTGTCAGCCGCCGTCCGGGGCACAGCCGTTCGGTGCAGGCAGGCTCGCAGCAACTTCTTCCTCCGCGGAGCGCTCATTCTCGTTCGCCAGCCACGAGGACGTCGGGGTCTGAGGGGGACTATGACCTCTCGTCCCCGTACCGCCGCCTGCCGGTCTCGCCGGTCTCCGCGGGGTTTAGGGTGTGTGTTTCTCCGGCGCGGCGCCGAACCGTCCGGTCGCCCCCAGTTCTCCACTCTAATTGCCGAATTGTCCCGATATCGTCGAAGGGACACGCGAGAACTCGTATGCGAATCAAACGTATCAAACCATTCCACGAAAAAAAAAACGCGGGACACATCATATGATTAGGAATCGATGATATTTCATGTACTAACGAATACTAACTTTTATCTTATTATATATTACAATATACGTATAATAAATAATATATAAAATGTTGGTGTTGCATCCCACATATATACATATATTGGCTGGAATGTATTTATCATTAAGATAAATAATTTTAATTGAATATATACATATATATATATATATATATATTTAATTAGAATTAATAGCTGTAATGATAAATTCCAGCGAATAAACTGGTTCCCAAGATTATAGTTTTATTTTCCAACAATGCACAATCCAAATTTGAGTACATTTGTGAACATCTTGTTACTGATTAGTATTCATTGAATATGCAGGACGAAAGTATATGCACTCTCGCACATCTATCGATCGCTTAATAGTTTTACATATCTTTAAGACTGTAACTCACCTTCGACGGGAACGGGCGACTCAGCTGCGGTGGCCATGGTGTTTGTCTCTGCAACAAAAACGTTCCATAAGTATATGCTCAAATGAATACAAAATAAACATAGGATATTCGAGGGAAAATACAAATATAATACAAGCATAGTCTTGTCATAATATCTGTTCTTTTAACTACAAACTTCTGGCGTCGTCGTATAATCCTTTTCAATTAAATTACATTTTCACAGTTGAAAATAGCGTCCACTGAGAATTTAGCAGAGATAAAAAAAATTATAAATAATACTAGAAAGTGCAGTTAAAAAAGATAGACCTATTGTACAAATGAAGACTCGCAGTGATGATATCGATTTGCTTTACACTAAACTGTTCGTATTAATTAAAAAGTTTTTTTTAACAAAGAAGATAAAGTTTGTTTCACTCTGAATATGTGTAAATTTTGATTTATTTTTTATTTAGTAATATAAAGTCCTAAAGAAATTTATACATTATATAAAGATTATTATTTTTATGTTATTACAACTGTAATTACACGTAAAGCAATAGTATTACACGTAAAAGAAAAATCTAATTACGCTTTCTTTTTTATCAAATATATCTTCACCGATCAAATATATTCTCAGAGATCAAATGTA